AAGTTAATGAGATCTTCTTGGATATTTGAGAGGCAAATGTTGATTTTTGTATAGTAAATTCAATTTAGTGAAGGGAGAGGAAATAAAAATAGCAGCTAAATCAGAAGACTTTGTTGACACTTTAAGAGAAATATTGTTGTTATGCAAATAAATGTTGGTTTTTAAGCACAAAGAAATGATTTCTTTGTTTATTAATAGGTTTTTTTTTTTTTTTTGGCTGGGGCTAGGTTTGAACCGTCTCTGGTATATGGGCCCACTGTCCTACTCCTTTGAGTCACACGTGTCGCCCTGTTTATTAATAGTTTTAACCACTGTTAAAACCACACCTGCTATTATGTAAATAAAATGTTCTTCTGAAATATCACAAAGCAAATTATAAAATATTATGAAAAATATAAATGCCCACGATTTTAACATCTAACCCCCGCCCCATACACACACATACTGTTAGCATTTTGGATTTCCACTTAGTTGTAATAATAATATATATTTGATTCTGTATCCTAACTTTTTTCAATTAATAGTACACAAAATATTTTAATCTATGTTGTTACACAGTCTTCTAATCATCTTTCTAATGATTTCACCAGGACAGATTTTAAGTTATCTCATGATTTATTCGATTCATGTCATAAACATTTATCAGGTCATTACGATGAGCTTAGCACGGTTCTAAACAGGTGACAAAACCCCTACCCTCATCATTCTATGGAAGATGGCAGGGGGTATATAGATGGGATACAGAAAAAAGTCTATGAACTCTCTAATTCAGTGCTCCTCCTATCTCAGCGTCAAGTACTTGAGGTATTCATTTGGTTTCTGATTATCAGCCAAGGCAGGCAGGAAATATATTTATCTATTCATGAAGGCACTCTGTCAGGCTTAAGTCTATTCAACTCAAAAATCTTTTTTTTTCTCATTTCTTTCTCCAAACAGATTTATAGCAGTCATGTCCTAGTGAATAATGACAGAAAATCCTTGAGATGAAAGGAAGGTTCTGTCTGGAAAGCTGATCAGAACAGTGGGCCTGGGTGTGTCCATCAGGCACCCGTCTGAATATTAACTTGCTTTCCATCAGGTTGACAATTCAGAAATCGCATGGCCAGAAATCGGAGTCTCCAGTCTGGGTGATTAAAAATTTTTTTGAGTGATATTTTAAATTTCCTACAAAGATCCCTTTAGCTGGGGCGGAGACCAAGTCTGTTCTCTCTGATAGGAGTAGAGGGAAGCGTGAAAGTTCCTGGGCTCCACAGGTGGGTCTCAGGTTGTCCATCTCACTGTCACAATTTTTAGTAAAGGTCTTACAGAGAAAAGATATGATGTTCAAAGGAGGCGAAAGCATAGCACGGCAACTTACACTGAGATAAGACTCAAGTACGTTTTTGTTGTTGTTCTGCCGTTCTTTTCCGCATCAGTAAATCCTGATGGTTCCTGGTGCGGCAT